AATACTCATACGTCACACAAATTACCAACAGCATTTATTGTCTTATTGATGTTTTGTCGACTTTTATCTAGTTCATTTTGAATAGATGCTTTTCTGCTCGATACAACAAAGAAAAGGTATTTGTGATCGAAAAATGTGATAAACACTGTTTCATCTAGTTCTCCATATTGTTCTATGTGACCAATATCGTCAAGTATATCTTGAAAAATGGGATCACAATGCGAAATTAATCATATCCATGTAATGAAAATCAGGAGAAAATGGGTGACTAAATACAAAAAGTGATCCACTTTCTTATGACCTAGGTAGTTTGCCTTACTTTTTCATTGATGCATCTTTAGAAGAAATGCATGCTCTATCTCAATATAATTGTTGAGGTTCATTGACAGCTATTTTTTGTGCTATAAAATTATCTAGTATGTGAATTTCATAAAACTGTAAAAAACAATAAGCGAAAAATAAATTTTTACTTTAAGTTTCAAATCATTAGAAGGTTAAAAGTTTTTTAAAATCAAATTATAAGCAGATTTCACAGATACCATCCCTAGAGAAAGTACTGAGTTCAGGGTACCCATGTACTGAGAAAGCTCTAGCAGGGTACCCAATATGGGTACTTTGAAAATTCTCAGTAATTTTACTGATGTATGTACTGTTTGGGGTACCCGTAAAAGTACATTCACTGAATAAGTACCTGCATGGATACACAAGTCTGTAACTTTACTGAGGAAATCTCGACAGGGTATCCTAAATTTTTCGCGTTCTGTGCGGCGACTATTCATTCACCGTTTTCTTTTTTACGAACGGCTCTATATAAACAACTCGATAAATCATAAGAAAATAATCAATTTTCATACTAGTTTTTTCTAAATTATTTCTTGACTATTTCTTAGTCGAGGAAATGCCGAGCTTGGTCGTAAATTAAGATCGGACTACCCTGAAGTGGTCTACGACCAACTCAAGTTGAGTCGGATCCCAACATTGTTCCTGCTAAGTTTTTGGAATTGAAAAAATTAAATTGAATAAAGTAAAAAAAATCTAGTAAATTATCTCAAGAAAAACAAAAAAAAATTTTAAAAAGTCAAAGATCAGGTTCGATCCTGAACATACTGAAAATTTGGTAACAGGGTACTTAGAAATACTGTACAATGGTACCCAATTCAGTACTTGATCAGTACCTTTAGGTACCCAATTACTGTGCATTTTCCAGCAGGGTACTTGCCAAAGTACCACTTAGGTACCTATAAGTACCTGCAAGTACTTTGGTACCCAAAAGTTCCTGTGACATACTGGTATCAGGGTACTTTTTTGGGTACCCTTAACTCAGTATATTCTCTAGGGATGTCCTTGATGTAGACAATAAGTGGTTCAAATTGTATGTTCATCTTTCTCAAATCAATATTGTTTGCGAACATAAATGATTTCATATTTGAACACGCTAACAACGTTGAAAATCGATAAAACATGTGCTGTTATGACGCGATAATTATTTCTTCATGATTTCTATAAAAAAGGAAAAACATGGACGCTATTATAGAGGCATAAGAAGTTCATGAATGAGGAAATAAATAGGATTGATTAGTCGCTGTAAAAAATGCCATCCATCTATCATCTAATTTAGACAACAGTCAGACCTAAGACCCGTCTTATTTTTTAAACATTTGGATCTACTATACACTGGCATGCCCTATTCTTAGATACATGAATTGAATAGACACTAATGTGTCTGGACCTCTCCTATAGCGAAACCTGCATTCACTTTTTCATAATTTAATCAAATCATTGATAGCTTGGTGAAGAATATTATCAGGTAAGAATATTTTTAGATAATGCACGATTTCAAATATTGATGTGAATCAATATATTTGACTATAATACTGTAAAAAAACACGAACGCTTAGAGTTACTCTATTAATTCTTGAACTATTATCATCGAAACAGCTACTATGAGAATTTATAAATTCTATAAATTTATAAGGCTTCTTAATTTAAGCAGCATCAGTAATACACAACAATTATTCATAGCATCATTTCAACTAAATCCTTAACTTCTAACGCCGTCTACCGGAAAAAAACCAACACTTTTATTTTGTTGTAGTATCCTTAAAAGTATTTTTGAAGCTAGAGTTGTGGAGTTTTTCAAGAACTTACAGAATACATCTTTGGTTTCAGCTCTAGAGGAACCTTTATAGATGAAAATGATTGATAATAGGCATGAAGAAACTTGATTTGAATAAATGAAGTTGAATATCAAAGAGGAATAGGGGAAAATAGTTTGAGAAGTAAAAGATGTTTGCTTCACAAAATTCGTTAATATAAAAACTACTATTAAAATAGAAATTATCATAAAAAAAAACGATTTATTCAAATTTCTGATCCTATTTTATTAGAAAAATTCATTCCTATAAAAATATAATTAAACAGTTCGATAGAGCAGAAGTTTCAGTGTCCAAATTAAATGTTGTCCAGCGTAAGAATTTGATTTTGTAACGAACTCATGAATCCATATGTTTGGTAAAAGAGATGCATATACATATGTGTGCAAAACACACAATATAAGACTTCTCTCATTGACCTACTAAAATTTGAAACGAATATTTGAACTTAGAAGACATTAAGTCGATGACTTGTTCAGATGACGAATATCAGACCATTTTAAGTCTAAAATATGGCTTTAATGTAACGTATCCGTAGCATGCAGTGTATGCATGATATTTTCCTCTTCTTACTACTTCTTCTCATCTTATGGATTGTCCTTATATTTTTGGCCTTACGTCGTACATCGTATTGTACTTTGTCCATACCATATTATACTTATCTTCTCTCCTTGTTATCGTTTACTTTTCTCTTCTCTTCCATAGAAGAGTCTATAAGCGTATGCTTTGTATGTAAACGATGCGATTCTTGATAGGAAGAAATACAAGAAAGCGTAGTTCCATTAGCACTAGCTCTTCGTCTATCTAAAATCGTCACATTTAATATGCATTTTTTTTTCGTATTTACATGATCTGATGTATACAACACAGTAGGGGCGGTGAGATAGAAAGAGTTAGGCGTGCCAAGTAGAAATTTAGATGACCACGACAAGAGTTCGAAAAGATGGCACTGATGCGTGTTATCAAAAGGTTTTCCATGAAAAAGAACAGAAAAAAAAGTTTGACTAAAAAGGGAACACTTTTCGGAGTCTTGCAGTATAAAATCGTTGAAGTTCAATGTCACTTCACGAATACCTTTTTCAAATATTGTGTTGGGCTGAGATTGCAAAAAAAAGTTTAGTTTGTTCACTCCTAGTGTTAGATAATTTTTTGACCTTGAGCAAACGATTGAAAATAGCTAGTTCTTGACCGATGAGTCTACGTTTTTTTTTCAATTTCACCCTTAATAACCCTTTGTCTATTCTCTTATCGTTACGCCTATTAGCTTTTCTTATTCTCTCTCACGTTTGATACATAAGTAGCAATGAATATAAAGGAACACCATATTATTGATCGAGCCATGATTATTATTGTTCTTTTTTACCACATGTGCTGTATTCTATTTGTTTATTCTCCTTCGTGATTATTTTTTGCTATAGCGTGATAAATATTTATTAGAAAATGATATCATACATGTTTGACGATAAGTGAGAATTCGTAAAAAACGAATCGAAACGTACTATGAACTGATCCAGGTATGAAAACTATAGTTGAAAATTCTAACTTGAACATTTTTCAAAAAGAAAAAGTTTGTGCGAACTGCTCAGACTTCTGAGTAGATTCTAAGTTCTTTTGATTTTTCAGAAAGTTCGAGAATCCAAAAACGCTTCATCGAAACATTATGTTTGGAATATACGAGAGAAAAACATATGAAATTTTGAACGATGAAGCAAGAAGAAGTCAATTTTATGCTACGATAGTAGTTACACTCAAAAAAATTCATGTCAGTTTGATTCTTATGTCTATTTCGTCATCCGATATTGTTTTTTTTAATGACTTCTCTCTGATACTTGTAATATAATTATAATAGTTCGAAAAATAATCCTACACACAGAAAAATCTTGTTTAGTAAATTTATTGGAAATAATGACGCTCGATTTAACGAGTTTCGAGTCACACATACTCAACTTGTCAAACATTGCATAATTCATCTTCATAGAAGTAATTGTTCGATGAAGAAAACCTCTCTTTTCTCGCAGACCATCCGACATTGTACACAGCGAACATCACTGTGAGGAGAGATGAGTTGCATGCAAAAGTTAATAGCGAAAGTGATCAAAATCATGAAAAAAAATCATAATATCAGCTTTTTTTAACAGTCAATGCAAACAATCGAACGAACTCAGTGTTCTAATTTATCATCTGTGTGTCATGTTTCTCACATTGAGCTTCTGTCATGCATCATTTCCATTCTATAACTGAAAATGCATTTCTGATTCACTGTTATCTTTCAAATCGAATAGCATACCATTGCACATATATTATATTGTTTAAATATCAGGTTTTGCAGATCTAGATCATCTGATATAATGTTATTGACTGCATTGCGCATGACTAGTCGTCGTGTTTTCCATGGTGGCATCTGTCTACGAATGAACATTGCTAGCTCTTCTCAAAATATATGTCGATCAGAATCTCATTCGCCTAAAAGTACCCCGCATGTATACAAACAAGTATCCAGACCTCAATTTACACGTGACCAACACAATAATTACAAAGGTATGGTGAGTTACATACATCTAATTCGTATTCCATTTTTAGTAAGATCAATCATAGATTGACGAGTCGATCTTGTATTGCATTCAAGAGACTACGATGAAGAATATTTTTTAGAAATTTTGCTTTTGAAATTTTCACTCTTGATCTTTAAAAGAATTTCTGGTATTTTTCACAAACGTGAATCTGTTAACTCTTCGCTGACTCCGACAGATTCCTATTTTGTATTCATTTTCCAACGAAATTTTTCCGTTTTCTACTATTCACACATACATAGGACTCTCTGCTCTAATCGGTATCGGTGCCGTCTTCATGGGATCCATTTTCTTTTCGTGGAAAAAACAGGAACACGAATCAAACAAAGAAGATGAACATCACAAGTCGGCGGACGCTGATTTGGCTGATAAAGCGGCAAATACTGCGGCAACTACAGACCAGAATCCTTCTAAATCAGCACTCAATCCACAAACTTTAGACACATCAAAACCATCGATGGATCTTCATGATATCGAAATTTATCAACATCCAATAATATTTCCTCCACATATGCCTCCTCCGATAGTTCATGATGGTCCAATGCGAGTACGAATTAATATGGATACTTATATTCGTACCAAACCTATTGATGAAGAATCATGTTTTGACTGGTGGACTTACAATGGTGGATCACCTGGGCCAATCATTCGAATACGTCTTGGTGATGTCTTAGAAGTTCATTTTACCAACAACGATCAAAGTGGTATGCAACATAATATTGATTTCCATGCTGTTGAAGGTCCAGGTGGTGGATCTTCATTATTGACTGTCAACCAAGGACAAGAGAAGATTGCTATATTCAAGCCATTACGTGCTGGTCTGTTTCTGTATCATTGTGCCATGGCACCTGCTCCTGTACACTTGGCTCAGGGAATGTACGGATGTGTGTTAGTAGAGCCCGAGGGTGGGTTACAGCCCCCAGCACAGAAAGAATACTGTATTGTTCAAGCTGAACTATACACGAGTGAGAGAATAGATGAAAAAGAACCGGTTGTGTACATAGGTCCTGATGATGAAGTAAATAGGGAGAAGATAGAAAATGAACTGAAAGGACTGAGTCGATTAGACATGGATATCGAAGCAGGAATGCTTGAGAAAGCTACCTATGTACTGTTTAATGGTAGAAAAGGAGCAGAAGGTTATAATTTTCCTGAACATACCGATGAGAGTATTGGTCTATTAGCGGATAATTTGCTAGCCGAACCAGGCGATAATATTCGTATCTTTTTTGTGAATGCTGGGCCGAACTTAGTCTCTTCTTTTCATCTTATCGGTGGATGTTGGGATAGGGTGTGGCGAGAAGCGGATCTCATCTCAGCACCAGCACAAGCTATACAGACGACACTAGTACCTGCTGGTGGTTGTGTCGTGGTGGATTTCCAGCCTCATGTACCAGGAACATATACTATGGTTGATCATTCACTCTTTAGAATTGAAAAAGGCGCAGTCAAATTCATCCATGTAAAAGGTGATCCACTAAGTAGACCTGATCTGTATGCAAGCGGTAGCGGACATGGCCTCGAAAACTGTGAAGCATGCAAGTTGCATCCCAAGTGATTGACGTCTAATGAACAGCTTAAAAATTTTGGTATCATCTTTTGTTGATTGTAAGACTTTCTTAGATACCATAAAATGTTTGTCATGTTTTTTTTCAAACAGTATTCGTTTTCTATTACAACAGTACTCATACATCTGCTCTATCACACGCTTATTTCTTCTTTTTGTTGTTTGATTATTTTCTTTTCTTTTTTGTTTTATATCAGTTTATTCTGTTACTAGTGGCTTTTTCAGTCATTGTTGATTTCATTTTGTTCATTGGCTCTTTATATCAAAGAAAATATTTAAGCGCACAAAGTTTTTTTTATTATTTAAAAATTTCCTCTGGGGAGACTAGACAAACAATCGAAAAAGCAGAATTTTCTATTTTTCACCAATATTACACTCAAAGAAGCCAAGCCTATGAGAATGACTTTTTGCAACAGCATATAAAATTTTCCTGCAGTACTTATTATTTGAAGAGTGTGGATATGAATGATTTCTCCATTCACATTCCATATTCACACACATACCCTAGCAATAATGATGACACAATAGTTTGATAAATTCATGCGTAACTATGATATCTCTATTGGTATTCATTGAATAATAAATTCTAGATGTATTTGTTAGTGTACATGTGGCTGACGAGAAGATTCACAACTACATCCATACTCACATCCAAAAAACAATAGTTTGACAATCTGAATATAGATTCATCACTGCCTTTGTCGTTTTGATATTCATAACTCATAAATAGAGATGTTCGGGATCGAGTTTTCCTTATAGTTTGGGTAAACCTGTTCTAGTTGCGATTGCACTCTACACATAGAGATCTATAAACCTTAAACAAAGTTCTCTGATGAGCTGTTGTTGAAAAGTACTGGCAAGAGAAGATGTGTTCTCTAAAAATCATGAAACATCTAACTATAATTAATCATTAGTCCTGATTCACTCAACTTTTGATTATCTATTGTCGCGAACTCAGGTCTCGGTAATTTCTCTTTTTCATAGTGGTCACACATTTCTATTCACGAAAGAACATACTTAGCTAAGGACCATCAGCGAATATAACTCAATACACTCTTCATCTTCGTTTCGGAATATTTTATTAGCAATATTGTCAATAAACAAGTCTTATAATCATTAAAATATTATGAAAGCTTTTACTCAAATAAATATTTCGTTGAAGAAAGATTTTATTCTCTCTAAATCTTTCACAAGCCATAATAAATGTAGTGGAAGAATATCATTTTGTTTTATATTCTCATTGATGTCAGAGAAAAAATTCGTTCAAAAACAACGCCAATTTTTATTTGTATTACAATACGTATGATTAAAAAACGTAAGATAAATGTTCAAGAAAAACAAATTAGCAAGTAAGATTAATTGTTACTTCTGGAAGATCAAAACATTTGCGTACTCGATGATAAGTTTGTATTCGTTCTGCTTGCATATGATATCCAGCTTTACCAGAACATTCATATTCATTTAATTTTCGAGTTGTACCACCAAAATTATCTTGTTGAGCTAATTGATTCATCTCAGTTTCTTTATAATACCAAATAGCTGTTGATGCAGCTATTTTATCTATTTTACTAACTAAATCTGGATTGTTAAGTAAATCAAGACCAAGAGCTTTTCCAGCATTATAATAATTACAAGGATAAGATAATTGAAACCATCCACGGCCGTAATACTTCATATTTGGACGAGCTTGAATTGAACACCATGATATTTGATAATTATTACAAGCTGTAAAAATACAAACGAACGCAAGAATTCTTAATTTAACAAAGAAAAAAAAAGTCTTTATCACATACTGTCTTGTTTAGAACAATATTCAGCAAGAGTTTTTAAACCATCAGTTTCATGTGAAACATGGGCAAGAAATATAGCTGCTTCTGTACTATTTACTGGTTTCCATTTCATTTGTTTCATAGCTTCTATTAAACCGTTCAAACGACGAACACGTAGATTAGTATCAATATTTGAAAATATGCAAGCGAAAACTTCTGGTGTTATGTCAAAACCAGTATGTATTGTTTTAGATGAAATTTTACATGGACCTGATTGACAACCATCCCCACAATATGCATCTGTGCGACCACAATAACCCCATTTTGAACAACATTCATTTTGAGAACAAGAACAATTTGGTCGAATAAGACGTTTTAGAAATTGAATAAATTCACTAGCTAAATTACTTTTAACTTCGTGCAATATGAAAGAAAGAAATATAATCAATACGAACGACACTTGAATAATGCGCATTATGTAAGATAGAATCAACTAAATACTTGTTAATTTTATATAATTTTCAATATGTATACATACAAATATACGACGATTTGATAACTGTGATAATAGGCATTTTATTAAAATAGCTTTTTTCTCTTCCCACCAATTCTTTCTGTATTCTTATCCTATTAATAAAAAATATCATGATACGTGTATACATGCGGTTATTTTGCAAAACAAAAAAAAATATATATATATCGCATTGTCTTATAACTCAAGTACATTCGAAGAAAACAAAAACACTTTTGAATTAGGTTTTTATTGAATAAATCGAATTATTTTCATTTTTTTTCTGAAAATTCCATCAAATATCAATGCCAATTCGCCTTGGTATATTAGCCAGAATAAAAAAGAAAATGTTTATCTAGCTATCGAGTACTGCTATTCAGAAACAATTCTCTTCCAAGCATTCAGGCAATTAATGCTCATTAATAAATCTGTTATTCGATGCCGATTTATTTTTTTCTCTGTCTATCATTTTTATCAATGAACACATTCCATAATCCAACAATAATAATCGGCTATGATTGATCAAGAAGACTTAGTAAACATTTATTATTCAATAATATTTTCTGTGTTCATATGTTAAAACATTTTTCATATTACTTTTCATTTCCTTTCGTCTATCTATCCTTTGTATAAAAAGACAAGTGGTCGTGAGAATACTTTTTTTTGTTCAAACATATATCACATCGAAGTATTTGATTAGCAAATACTTATTCTAAAAAGCATCATGTCTAACTATACATAAAATGAATGAACAGAACGCATAGAAATATTTAGTACAATATCTGATTGTTTAAAAAAAAAACTGTTCGATGTAATAAATGCTTTTTTTTTCTATTTAATCTGATTTACCACAAATGACAATGATGAAAGAAAATACTCGATCATTTTTTTATTTTTCGTTCAAAGTATTGATTTGCCGCTTTTAGTCTTTACTCGTCTTCACTTGACTGAACCGTGAACTCAATGATAAGATTATCTTGATGCCATATAGATATTCTTATCATTAGTCATGCTGAATTTAAGATCTATCTATTTAATCGATAGTAATGGAATTGTTACAATGTCTGTAACATAGTTGTTTGATTTTTCTCGTCTCATCGACGAATTACACTATACTAATCAGTATTACAAATGAATTCATCTATTTATTTTTTTTTTTCTTTCCTCTTTTCTTTTCAGCTTATGAAAAGAGAGAAAAGAAAAAGAGAACGAACACAAGAAGAGAAATGATGATGATGAATGTTCAATGCATATGTATGTGTAGAAAGCGTCATTATTCTTCTCATCCTCTCTAACAATTATCGCATTGCTTCTTACATTTATTTGTTGTTGCCGTCTGTTGATACACTTTAGAATCATACAATTAAATATGTTTCTATTATAATAATTACTATTTGAATCCAATCAACAACAAAAAGAAAAACGATGATCATATTTTTATTATCATATAGTATCTATATACTTTTATTATTTCAACAACATATTATCAATGCATGTCCTTCTGTATGCTTATGTCATGGACCTAATGTTGATTGTAGCAATCGAGCATTACATATCATACCATCTGGAATATCAAAAAATGTATTTAAACTGTAAGTTTTTTTTTTTTAATCTATCATATTAAAAAATATATTGAAACGTTGATGATTGAATTAGATCAGTGTTAATCATTAATGATATCATTACGCACAATTGAACCTTCTAGGTATCTGTTTTCTATGATGTAATCTAAATAATGACTAAAAGAGTTTCTCATATTTCCTAATAAATCTATCGATGGCTTTTTATGTCCTTCATAATAAAAATATCATTACGTTGCTTCACTTCATTAACAACTGTATGTTATTGTTATGCAACTATTCAGTTAGTCTCGATTGATTTAAATTCTGCTAAAGATATTTGTAGACAGATACTTCTTCTTTTTCACTCGCTGTTGTATATCTATATTACATCATCGAATCTATTTATACAACAGCAAGTATTTATATTAATCTTGACGTATGAAATGAAACAATATCAGTGAGATATGTATATGCACTTGAGTATTTCTCATTATATTAATGAAGGATGTTTAAAAGATATTATATTGTATATATATATGGTATTTTATAAATAAAAAGTCAAGTACATATTATTGATCAGTCAAATGAAATCTTCACGAAAAACTATAATTACAATTCATAAAAAAATAATTGAAAATTTTCTTTTTTTTTATCGATTATATCATCTTTAGACAAATAGAAAAAGACTTGACGTATCCAATTTAAATAAACAATAAAAAACAGAGGCAAAGTACTAGTATATTACTGGTCATTAAAGCACTATGTCATGATTATGAATTATTAAGGAAATATATATTTTAATCATGAGGACGTGCAGGCGAAAGTCAGGAGTAGATATGTCCAAGTCGAAATAGTATCCGATTGGATAGGAATTATGAAAATTGATGCTGAATGAATCAATCAGACTGCTATGAAGTCACGTTGATGTCCGGTCGATTTAGTATCCGGAACCTTATTAGACTAGTACATGTCTAGTGAACACACGCTTGTTATACTCATCAGCCACCTAATATTTATTATTTCTGTTATGATTTATAATAAACTTCATGATGAAAAACAAAATGCTTATCTAAATAATTGTATTATATAATTTTTTTCTTTTTTTTTTCATAGAGACTTACAATGGAACAATTTATCAATTATTGGAAAAGATGACTTCAAAGGCTTTCGTCAACTACGTATATTGTAAGTATGATTGATGATATGTACAATATATAAATCGATTGATCGTTTCTGTTAATTTTCATATAGAACATAAGATGACATGAGTAGGTGCTCGCTCATCTTTTGAACTCTTCTTTTTGTTTTTTTTTTTTAAATTTTATTGACAAGGTTAAGTGCTGTTTTGTTTCTCTTCAATATGTTCGTATGATGACAAGGTCAAGTAGTCAGACATATAAACAAAAAAAGAAAGTGATTTGTTATTATTTTGAGTAATTATAAAATATAATTTGCAATCATATGTATAGAAAATTTTAAAATTTCTCTTTTGAATATATTAAAATGATTGTTATTTTCTTTCATAAATAGAAATCTTCAAGACAATCAAATACATACAATTGATATTGATGCATTTCGAGATTTAATATCCTTACAAAAATTGTAAGTACAATTGAAATCAAACAGTGCTTTTTATCTTTACTCCTTATATACTATCGTCATCATCATCATCATCATACTAAACGTTTTAATGGTCAACAATCATCAAATTATTTATTACTACTGCTGTGATATTCTTAAAATTGCAGTGAGCAATAAGAATACAAACAGTTGGTTTGTATGATTGATCATGTCATTAGTCTCAATATGTATTGTTTGTTACATTGAACAGACACAATAAAAGAGATTTATGGAAACGAACAAATAATTTTACCTATTTTTTTTTTACTGTTCTTTAATTGCAATTGTCTAATGAGAGACGGTCAATATAATCGAGTGTATTTATGTAACATAAATGACTGACAAAGATGTGAAAATGAGATGATGACAACGATAGATATATGATAGGTATAGTTGATAAATGAGAGACAATATGGTCATGTTTTTGTAGACGTCTTAATGGCAATAAACTAAATCATTTTACAGATGGTACATTTATCACACTTAAACAACTTCAACGATTGTATGTTTGTATATTATATTTAAAAACAAAATAAAAAAAAACATTTGCTTCTATTTTCAGGGATCTCAGTTCTAATCATTTACGAGTCATTAAAAAAGGCATGTTACAAGGTCTACAAGAAATTAATAATTTGTAAGTGTATATAAAGTGAATTTGATTTTAATTAGTTTTTTAAAAAAAAAACATTATCTAGACAATTGGATCATAATGAGATCTCATGTATTGAACCAGAAGCTATCAATGGACTTCAACGATTAGAGATTCTGTAAATTATATTATATTGATTAATTTTTACTTATATGCATATATAAATTTTTTGTTTTCTTTTTCTAGCACATTGAATTCTAATAATTTAACAACTTTACCTATGTTACCATTTGCACAACTAAACGACTTAAGAGTTTTGTAAGTATAGATGTAATAGACATATTAATATATATATGTAATTTTATTGAATATTATTTTATTTCTTAAAGACGATTACATGATAATTATTTTGTTTGTGATTGTCGTTTACTTTGGCTTGCAAAATATCTTAAATTTCATCTATTTCTTGGTCTTAATACACAATGTCAAGATACTAATACATGGAGTTTTAAAGATATAATATTATTAATCGATGATGCAAAACAATGTAATCGTATGGGTAAAATTTGAAATCGATATTAAATAACACAATAGATTTTCTCATTTTTAAATAGATACTGATGATATTGATTATACATGTAATGTATTTGTATGTCCATATCCATGTACATGTTTTAATGGTGTTGTTGATTGTAAAGATAAAAATCTTATAGAAATTCCAAAAAATATTCCAGATACAACAATTGAATTGTAATGTTTAAAAAGTTTTTTTTTTTTTTTTATTGTAATACAAAGTTTTTGAAATATATTTTAGACGTTTGGAAAAAAATCAAATTACGGAAATACTACCAAAAGTATTTATTCATTTGAAAAAACTTCGTCGTTTGTATGTCATAATTTTATTTTTGTTTATTTTTTTCAATAAATTTTTCAAATTTCAGAGATTTAAGTAATAATTTCATTTCAATTATCTATCCAGATTCATTTACTGGTCTTAAATCTCTTAATTCACTGTAAGTAATTATATATTGTTTTTTTTCATTATACATATAAATATATAAATGATTAGTATTCTTTATCGAAATAATCTCAAAATGTTACCATCGGGAGTATTCAATGAATTGAATTCTCTACAACTTTTGTGAGTGTCAGACAAAAATATAATGAGAATAAGGCATGTTTAATACTCATCAGCACATATTTACCGTCTTGTAATGAGAATGTTGATTGAAAAAGCATGAGAATGATCCTTTTCTAAAAACAAAAGTTTTCGTCTTTCTTTTTCTTTTTGAACCTTCATATAATTACTTGCATGAATCATTTTATTCTTATTTATTGCTTATGACTATAGTATACTTTCGAACAATCTGCTTGTACATTTACCATTCGATGTATTTAATCATGAATTCAAACATTTACAACTCTTGTGAGTAAGCATAGTGTTTAATAGCATGTTGTTTGATTTTATCGTTTTTTATTTTTGCTTGTATTATTCATTTTTAACAATATAATTCTATTCGATTCATATAGATTATTAAATGCAAATAAAATAGTCTGTATACGTGTTGATACATTTCGTGGTTTAGAAAAATTAAGTTTATTATCATTATATGATAATCAATTAAAAAATTTAATAAATGGAACATTTAGTTCATTGAAAAATATTCAAACCTTGTAAATATTATTTCTATTTTTTTATTATTTAATAATTTAAGAGATTTTTTTTTTTGTTTTTCATTTTTCTTAAAGACATTTAGCTCGTAATCCATTTATATGTGATTGTCATCTTCGATGGTTAAATACATATTTACGTGAAAAACAAATTGAAACAAGTGGTGTTCGTTGTGCTGGACCACGACGTATGGCAAAACAAAAATTCGGTATTTTAAAAGATCAAAAATTTCGATGTCAAAGTAAACAAAAAAAAAAAGAATAGCATTCACAAAATTATTTGATAAATAAATTTCTTTGCTTATTTTAATTAGATCGAATGAAATATTTACAAATATTAAATACAGCTCAATGTGAAATAGAATGTCCTAAAGGATGTAAATGTGATAGAACAACAGTAATATGTCGTGGATTACAATTACAAGAAATTCCTCATGATATACCAGCATTTACGACTACACTGTGAGTAATGTGATAAATGAAGAATGTCTATTATGAAAGATGAAAAGATCGTTAGTACAATGATTGTATAGAGTGAATGGGGTTTCACAATATGTCTTTGACCTATGATTATTAACCCTGACTTGACCAATTTTACGTCTGCTGCATGTTGTCTACTTCGAGTTGGCGAGGACTCCAATTAACAAAATAATTGTAACACACGAAATTATTATAAATTTATCATGGATGTATGAAGACTCTTGAGAAGGCTTGATTACAGAAAAAATAAACAAAAAAAGCAGTTAGTTGAAACTATAGTTATCTAGTCTTTCTCTATTTTTGAAGTTTTTAATACCATGCATCACGATGTAGTATTGACATAGATTCTAAATCACTCAATCTAAGATGAACAATTGCATATAATCGACTGACTTCATCAATGCATTGTGCTAAGTGTGCTCAAAACATATGTAAAAGGACATGATTCGATAAAATATTATGAATGCATAATATAACAATGAATCCTACTAAAATCCAGTCGAAGTCAAGATAGTCAACAAGCGTTCACATGTACTTCAAGATGATCTACTCAGATAAATAATAGTTCAGTGTAACTAGTAAAGATTATCAGCATATTCTACTATTCTTCACTAGAGCATATATGAATGATTCTTTCAGAATTAAAATTACACTGGCTACAATAAATCACAATAAAAATCCTAATCCATTAGAGTTTTCACTAGAGCACTAGGTAGTATCTATAGCGAGAAAAATCCTTGAAATTAGAATGGATCATTTGTGGAGATTCTCTTGTTAATGATATTGCTTATAGTCGATGGAAGTGCCATTTTCTACAAACTTCATAGATAACAATTGACTTCGTTAATTAACAGTCTTAATTTAGATTTTTCTCTGCTAACCGCTCAGATATTTAAATACAAGATAATTCCAAAAATTCAGTTCAAGAATCTGTTGAAATATTCTTTATAAAGATAGTCTTTATTATCCAAGTGTCTGAATATTCTTTAAATAATATTTTCAAATATTCATGTATCTACTATATTTGTTGAAAATTCTGAACTTTATTTTCTAACAAGTAATAGAATGTCTAGTGAATATATTTATTTAGTGATCTTCAAGATAATTTAATTAAACGAATATCACGTGATGGTAATTTACAACGATTAAAAAATCTTCGTATACTGTATGTGTATTTGAAGAGTATTAAGTAAAATATATTGAAATTTCTCTTTTTTTTATATCAAATAGTGATTTAAGAAATAATCAATTAGAAGAAATTGATGATGATGTATTTGATGGATTTGATTCACTTAATCAATTGTAAATAAAAAATTTATGATTCGAAAAATTTTTTACTAAATTTTTCTTTTGTTTTAAAATAGATTTTTAAATAACAATAGTCTTCATAAAATAACAACACAGACATTTAATGGTTTAAAAAATCTTCAAATATTAAATTTAGATTCAAATAAATTAACATGTATTAAAAATGATACTTTTATAAATGTAAATAAACTTGAATTATTATCATTAAATAATAATCAAATTAAATATATTGCATCATTATCATTTGATCGTCTTCAATTGTTATCTGATTTGTAAAGATTAAGCTTTTTTTAAATATTAAATTTATTCTTTTGTTTTAGAAATCTTCAAGGCAATCTATTGGTATGTAATTGTCATATGAAATGGTTAAAACACAGTAAAATCCTCTCCGATCATCCCGAGTAAATATTTCAATTATTTAAGTATTTCTGTTTTTTTCTTATTTTATTGTATTTCTATCTTAAGATGTATGTCACCAACAAAATTACGTAATATTCCGGTAAATACTATCATATAAAAAAAAATCTTTAATTAATTTTTTTTCCATTAAGATTGTCAATGTTACTGATGAAGATTTTGTATGCAACCGTAAGTATTTTTATCATAAACTAGCGCTTCCCTTACGAATCCCTGACAACCATTCTTCCAAACTTTTACTGAGTCAGCATTAAGAAATATTGTATTTTGTATTTTTATCTTCTCAGAATTATGAAGAACAATTTTCTTCTCGTTCTATTTTAGCTACTGAAATTGATGTATGTGATACATCTTATTCAAATTCTTGTCCACAGAACTGTACATGCTATAATCGTATTGTACGATGTTCACATGCTCAATTAATTCGTATTCCATATGAAGAAATACCAATATATACTGAAGAACTTTATTTAGATTCAAATAATATAGAAGAAATACCATATGAATTAACTAATCATCTTATTTATCTTTTAAGAATTGATTTAAGTTATAATAAATTACATTTTATACCAGGAAATTTATTTTCAAATTTAACACGACTTGAAACATTAATATTATCCTATAATAAAATTCAATGTTTGGATTCAAATTCATTTAAAGGTTTAAAAAATTTAAGAATTTTGTATGTAGTTTTGATTAGAAAAATTTTTTCTCGAAAAAGAAAATTATTTAAATTTTAGATCAATTCATGGAAATGAAATTTCAACAATATCAGAAGGTACATTTAATGATTTACCAATTTTATCACATATGTAAGAAGAAAATTTGAATATAATCAAATAAGAACTTAGACATTTGTTTATAGTGCACTTGGTAGTAATCCATTTTATTGTGATTGTCATCTTGCCTGGTTATCATCATGGATTAAAACAGACTACGTTGAACCTGGTAAGAAAGCTGTTAACATATATTATGAGACACCTTTCTTCACCATTTTTTTGCTGAATTTTTTAAAAATGGAATAAGAAAGCGGCTCATATTTTGTAACGAGACTTCATTGCTAAACAGGCTTTGATTAGTGTCTATCACAATTAGGGCCCACTGAGTGCAGAGTTTCCAATCCAATTTGGATTCGTTAGATTCGGATCCTTAGGTTATGTTTCAGGAAGGCTAATCTGGCTTTCATCCATTTTTGATAATTTTATTTATATAGTTAAATTTAGAATAAGTCTACAATGAAAACTGACATCGATCTATTGTTTATACTGATGACAAAACTAGTTGATCAATATCAAATTTTTAACTTTCTAGAGAAAAATGTATCTATTTAATAAGGGGATATAGACATGAAGCAACATGTTTTGTTCATAAACAAGTATCGAAATAGTAATATTTGGTTTCTTTTTTTGTGATCGGATGTTTTGTCGTACGAACAGAATGGTGTAACATTCTATAGCATAATAACTATATCCATGCATTACTTACTAATTTTGTAGAAAGTAATAATTAAAAGTGACTGAATACTGAATTGAAAGCCGATTGATACATGTACAGAATCTGCGAAGATTTTTCTGCAGACACATCCAAAGAAATCTTACTTAAAACATTATTAAATTATGTAGATGACAGAAAAATTTTCAAGACTTATACAAAATATTTGTGTGGTGCTCCAAAACCTTTATTCCATGAAGAGAATCTAGAAGACTTTGAAACAAAAGATCCTTCCTATGTGATAGTAGAGTACCTTTGTAGATTTTGTAAATGTGTCAGCAGTTTTGTTATTTAGTATTCAATTGTGTTTAATAACTATCATATTACTATTTTATTTTTCTTTACTGTAAATCATTATCGTCTACACAATAAGATAGTAATACACAGGTTCACATCTTCAGACTTCATATTTTGGGTATATAGAAAAAATCTGAAGATTGAGAGAATTCCTAAAAAGAACCAGTCATATAGGCCTTCTTGACAGAATTATAACCGTTCTGTTGGATTTTTACTAAAGAACTGGGTATTCACGGAAATATTGAACAAAGAGTTTTTGTCTACAAGAAGATCTTAGGATTCTAAAAATAGTCTGCAGTTTCAATTAAAACGATTATTTTCTTCTTTAGATATTCAAAATTTAAAAACTAACGGTTTTTGACCATAGAATATCTCAAGAAGATAATAGCCGTTTTCACTGAAACTTGTAGAACATTCTTAGAATCACGTAAGCTAGTTTTAGACAACCTTGCAGATCCAGAAGAGTTTTCTTAAATTTTCCTAATAAAAACCCATCCAATAGCTAAAAATCCATCACAACTCTCATAACTCTTTCGTGTTGGCCTATCAGCTTGTCTGCTTATTGCGATTCTTCTTGTCTTGAGACTTGATTGAGAAAATTTTAAGATCAGTACTTCTTTACATTTAATAGTTACAAGTAAAATAAGACAATGGTATTGTTCTGAAAAATTCCTATCTCAATGTATTCACATATCATTTCTATTCATTAATTAGGTATAGCTCGATGTGCTGCTCCGCCTCAAATGGCAAGTAAACTTCTCCTTACATCTCCGGTATCTTTGTTTCAATGTTACAGTACGTATGTTTTTCTTTTTCTTCTTTTCTTTCTAAAAATATTTCATTTATTAGATATAACTGAATCAAATAATTATCAACAAAAATGTAATCCTTGTTTAAATCGTATCAATCTTTGTTCTAACCATGGCACATGTCGTTTGTTATCAATTGGAAAATATATCTGCGATTGTTTACCATCCTATCATGGTGAACATTGTGAAAAAATTAATAATCCTTGTTTTCATAGTCCATGTAAACATCAAGGAACATGTCGTGTACTTGCTAATGACCGTTTTCAATGTCATTGTTCATCAGGTTTTATAGGTTCTCAATGTGAGATAAATATAAATGATTGTATATCAAATCATTGTCAAAATAATGGAACATGTATTGATAAAATTAATGATTATTCATGTTCATGTTCACCATTATTTACTGGTAAATAAAATAATTTTCTAAAACTCAAATATATTTTTTCAAGAAAAACATATTGCAATATTAGCAAGTCAAGATTTTGCTACTACACTCTTTCTTCATAGCTTTATAAGATTTGGAAAAGGTATTGAGCAGCATTAACGACAAGGATGCGAATGTAATTATTGATTTGAATAGTCCCTTCTTACCGTGACACTCGCACTCGCTTAAGATAAAATTTCATACGAAAATGATAAGTAACAAGCAAATAGAAACATGCTAAAGAAAAACTAAATAAGATAGATCGTTTTCTTGATGATTAATTCTTCTTAGATGAAAACAATTAGTCTGTGAGAGATTTTCCACTTGACGTATTTTGTATTAGTATAATAAATCGAAAGAATATATGTGAGTTTCATATATTAGCTCCAAACGGGCAGTACCTAGAAGTTTTGTGTAGGAAAATTTTAATGAAATTTTGTTTATAGGAAAATATTGTGAAAGAAAATTAAATTGGTGTGATAAAAATTTAAATCCATGTAAAAATAATGGACATTGTTTAAGAATCGATAATGGATATAAGTAAGTATTTTTATCGTTTTTTTTTCTTTGTTTTATTCAAATGAATATTTGATTTCAAAATTTTAGATGTGAATGTCCATTAGGTTTCGAAGGAATAAATTGTACAAATAATATCAATGATTGTTCTAATCATACATGTCAATATGGTACATGTATTAATAATATGAATGGTTATACATGTCAATGTGATATTGGTTTTACTGGAAAATATTGTGAAACGAAATTTCAACGTAAATCATCAGTATTTAAAAATAATCAAACTAAAACTTTATCAAAACGATGTACACCTGAAATTTGTTCAAATAATGGTATTTGTTATGAAGATTCATTAAAGATTATTCGATGTCGTTGTTCTTCGGGTTTTATTGGTGATTATTGTATGATATTAAAAACTATTCATTCAAATACAAATAATTCATATATTAAAATATCTAAGCCAAATATATATCCATATTTAAATATTACAATGATTTTTAGTACAGTGCAAAGCAATGGTATACTTGTTTATTTTGGATATGTAGGGCATATTGTTGCAGAATTATTTATGGGAAGAATACGTGTTAGTTATGATATTGGAAATTCACCTGGTTCAGTTATATTTAGTTATGATACAGTACATGATGGTAGTAAAGAAAAAAAAAACACTTCTAATTTGAATTGAAAAAAAATTTATTTTTAGGAAAAATTCATGAATTACAATTGATTAGTATTGGTCAAAATTTAAGTTTAATCGTTGATAAAAATTATTCAAGATTTATTAATAATCATGGTAGTCGTATTTATATGAATACAAGTGCCATAAATGCATTATATATTAGTGGTTTACCAAATGAGTTATCTGGTAGAGCTCTTCAATTATGGCATATTCGTGAAGCAACATCATTTCAAGGTAGTATAGATTAAGAATATAGTCATCATATCGAGTGACATAGTGATGCTTATGTATAGCCGTAATCGCTTTTCAGACCTCTGCACATTAAAACACACATATAGAAGATATATGTGTATACCCTATTTTTCATTGTAGAAGCATTTTTTTCAATGCTCGTGCAGGTGCTTTGATAAACAACAAATCACTTTTGAGATATATGGTACGATCTTTCAAAGATCATCTTTGAGATCTACTTTTTCAGTTTAAAATTTATAAAATGAGTTGATATTATCAGATTTTCTAGTATCTCTTATTCTCAAATACCAATATTGAAAATTTTATTTTACATTGAGAATTTGATTTGTATAAATTTTAAAATCGAAAAATCGATCTAAGAAAGAGCATAATATTCAATTTGAAAGTTTTCCAAAATAATTATAACTCAAAAAAGAAAATTCCTGGGATTGAGTTTTTGTTGCAGACCTTCTACTACTGAATTAGATAAGACTTATCACTACAGAAATCGTTTAAGGTTGTATTCATGCACTTTATATAAATAATGAATCAATCAATTTTGCTGATGTTGATTATCGTCATAAAATCTTACCTGGTTGTGAAATAAATGAAGTAAATCAATCTTCATGCACTACAACAACCTGTCAACATGGTCAATGTCAACTTGATGGTTTAACTTACAAATGTGAATGTTTCAATGGATTTACTGGAGAAACATGTAACGAAGGTAATCTCTTGTTTTTTTTTTGTACAATAGAAAACGAATATCTTGTGTTTATTTTAGTAATAACATCATCAATAGCATCACCATTGATGGATTCATGTGGTCTGAATATTCAAACAGGCTATTATATTGATCCACGAACTAAATGTAGGAGTGTTCGACGTTTACGTCTGACAAAATGTTTTGGTACATGTCCATCTATATTCAATAATGAAACATTATCATCATGTTGTAAACCGATCGAAGCTAAACGCCGATATTTTCGCATGACATGTGCGAGTGGTTTTACTTATAGACAATCGCTGGAATTTTTTAAAAAATGTACATGTTTGAATAGTGTATGTTAATTTTGAAAATTTATATGAATTGCAACTCATATTGATTGTATATACAGTATTGGTCGAAAAAAATAAGACCAACGTTTTTTTCTTTGTTTGATTTTTTCGTTCTACAATATTAGACATTTAACTCAAATTGAAATAATGGTTTGAGTAACATTTCATGTTAAAATTTCATAGATGCATAACGAGAGAAAAGTTCCTGAAAAACGTAACACGAAGAATTTTCAAGACTAACCTTTCTTTGAAAAGTTATAAACATCACAAAACGAAATTTATCATAGCAGTTTTTTTTATGGTTATAGCTTTTGAGGAAAGATCGTAGGAAATGCAATGATCAGTCATTTTTCTTCTGGATTTTGTGTACTCTAAAAAAAAGTATTCTTAAAAAATAACTTTCACAGTCTTCTGGAGCCTGAAGCTTCCTGTGTTTGGCTTCTTAGGAATCTTGTTCTCATTGTTTCTCTATGAAAAGTTCAGTATGGAATGTATTTAATAGAGAGAACTTCATTAGCTATTTAAACCATTGTTTGAATTTTAGATAAATTTTTGATATTGTTAAACAAAAAATAAAAATGTGTCAGTCTTATATCTTTGATGAGTACTGTCAAATGATGTGGGTTTTTTTATTATTCATGTATTTTTCTTGTTTTGCTTTTAACTCGTTGTTAATCGTTCTTAATTTTGTTTGGAGTCTATTGTATTTCTATTTGGAATATTTTTGTAAATCAAGGGTATTCATTTTACATTTTGTCTTGATGAGAATAAATTATAAACTAAAAGAATGCTGACCACTATTGTTGTTTGTTCCTTAATGAGATTTTTCAAACATCAGAATTTAAACAACTAGAATACGTCCAAAACATTCAATTTCAATATTACATATATTAATAACATTTTTTTCTTAATAGGAAAACCTGGTAATCACGTATGATTATTATACGATCTTCCAATTTATGTAGTACATTTTTTGTCTGAAAAATGCTTACTAAATTGGCTTTGTGAATAAAGTTGTATTTTATGTTAAATCATATCATCATAAAATGTGAATTCTACTTAAATTATAAAAAAAAAAGTGAGAGTAATTCAAATCAAATATGATCAAATGAAATTTTCTTTATTTAATATAGAATAGTTTAAATAAATGATATTGTATTAAAATAGAAGATTGCTTTGTTCCTCGTGTTTTCATCTTTGTTTAACATTAAAAGTCGAATAAATCAGCAAATTTACGTAAAACTCGACGACGAGTTTGCGACCATGAACATTGACCATTTTCAGGTCGATTGCATCGATTATTTGAACAACATTGGACATTAGAAATGCCAATCAGTACATTTTCCAATCTGTTACACATACTTTTAGCAATCATCGAGTATGTCCATTTTTTAGCACCTGTTGATTGTTCCCATTGACTACAAGCTTGATCACCTTTTGTACATTTAGTAAGATATTTCACACAACTACAAGCTTCTCTTGAACCGCAATCTTTCATATCCGATGTTAACGAGCATTTAGCATCGGTGCCCGTATAGCATTGAATCGATAAAACAGTTGTAAAAAATAAGCAAAAAACGGCAGTAAAGAGTAATCGATGGCACATCGTACAATTGAAGAATGTGAAATGTTAAAGAGAGTATAGGTTCTCAAAAATAAAGTCAATATAATGGTTCGTTTATATACTCTATACTCCTACATGTTAAAGTATGAAATGGATTAGTTACTTTTTGTTTGTTACATAGTACTGTATGTTGTGTCAATATCATGAATAATTTGTTCTGCTCCGCTAAATCCTAAAAAAATTTATTGATTGTTTCTCTTCGTATTGACATATGGTTAAGGGTTGTTTCAAGGTTTCAAAACGAATAGAAAACATCAATAAGTATGTGTCGTATCGAGGTAGCAACTTCAACGAAGAACAACTTGTCAAAGTTATTTTAATGCAACTACGTACCAAATGATAATGTATAAAATTATAGTTAATTTTTCATTTTCAAAAAAAAAACATTTTCATAATTTTTTACGAATAAACATAGCAGAAATTATTCAGAGAAATCAAGTATTAAACTTGTTACTACTTCATATTATTATAGAACTATTCTAAAGACACGAAGGCCTATAACTAATGGAAAATATCTTTACAGTACTATGCCCTAATTTAAGCAACACTTGAGCTTTATAATAACGAGTGGGACAATAGTTATGCATTAATTTTCTTTTTGATATAAAGCTGTGATAAAATGTCATAAAGACTTAATTTTTTTATCAGAAAGATCAAAGAACGAGATGTTTTTTTCTAAACCGTACATATATACAAATGTTTATTACAACAAAGACTTTCGTATGGTGTTAAAATTATTGATCTAACCTGTAAGAGAATAAACAGCAAACAACTCAATTAAAAAAAATCAATTTGGAATTTACATCGTGAAAATAAATGTCTTGTTCAATATCTTACAGAAAGTCTATGTCCTGTTTCAAATCATATTATTTGGTAGAAGACTGAACGAGCTTTTTTTTTCATATAAAATATATTTAGCTTCTGGCAAAGTCTCTCTGAGAATAGATTTTATTTTGTTGACAGTAATAGAAAACGTAGATATCAAGCCACATTATAAAAGAGTTCATTTCAACCGTTAGAAAACATATGAAGAATTTTTTTTGTTTTTTCTTGTACAGCAATTGTGTTCTGTCCTTACATTGTAAAACTCGGATTAGATGAATAAAAATAGAATAGATCTGATTAGATGAAATCTTTTCTAATTCGAAAAACGTTGCAAAGGATATTTTTATGCTTGTTATTCTAAAATTTTTATGGTTTTTGGTAAACATTTTCAATGAATTTTTTTTTATTAATTTTTGCACTAGATGCTATATTTGAATATCATGATTTAGCATTATCTATTTTATCATTCGAATATAACGTCTATCAGTAAAACTAATCTCAAACAGGAACATAGTGAACAAACATCATAAGAAAAGTAATAGAAAAAGCAGTAGGAGCAACTATTAACCTTCGAACTGGATCGGTGAAATGTTATGAAAATGTTTTTCAGATTTTTTTTTTAATATTGAAACATTCAGATTTATCCTTTATATAACATTACATATTTGGTCTGCACTAGAAGAAAATCACAGTTTGGAATTACTCTTGAATTCATTATTCTTTTTTTTTCTATCTTTTCGTTGTTTTAATAATTCGTTCATATAATGACCTATTGGAGAGTCCTATTTTAACAAATTAATGAAGTTTCCATGTAGACACAAGAAAACTTTTCTTTCGACTACAATAATGCCTGTTGTTCCATAAAAGTCATGGTCTGATTGGTCCCGTTTCGATCATGAAGAGAAACTTGAAAAAAAGAAAATTAAATGTAACGGCATACAGTCTTATCTAATGTATTAGGTGTGGATGTGGTTTTATGTGTTAGTCTCCTTTTAACTCATGTCCCAACCCATTTCTACACATGCATTGAGCAAACTCACACCTCAAACTGATATTCTACCGAATCTAAGATTTTATTCGAAAAGTGATTATTATATATGGTTTCCATTCATTTCAATACATGAAACCTATTCGAACTGGGATGTGCATATGGATGCGAATCTCTTCTTCATCAACATCCACACCCTCACAATTCTCACTGTTAAAAGAAAATGTTTATTTAAATTTTGTCTTTTTCTTTCATTTTTTCTAGTGGTCATTGAGAGGAATGAAAAAAAAACGGGTTCAGCTAACTACATTAACAACAAATGCAGTTGAATTCATCAATATTTACTCAGCTTATTTAACAGTACACAATTTGCAGGTGCGCTCTACGCCATCAAGAACATTAGTACTTTTATGAAAAAATTCAAATCGGATGGCGACTAGTGCGAAACATGTCAACGTTGCTATTGTGGATGGTGGAGTTGCCGGCTTAGCTGCAGCTAAAACTCTGAGCGAGTCTGGTCTTCCCCTAAGCAAATTTCTTCTTGAAGCGTAATCTTATTTGCGTGGTCGTGTTCATACAATCAATGCATGTCAATTAGTTCAACATATTTTCATTTTCATTTCAAATCACTGTTTTTTTTTTATCTTCAAATCTAGGGAGCTCAATATCTTCAAGGCGAAGGTAATAATCAAGTATTCGATATATGTAATCAACTGGGTTGTCTTGTCGATGATCAAAATAAATCAGGTAAGAGAATTGGATTTTTGTTTTTTAATACTGTCCAATTGAATTCGTAATTAATTAGATAAAGATCCGTTGTTTATTACAAAACTGATGGACCAATTCTTTCATCAGAATTAGCCGAAAGTATATCTGATGTATGCAATCAAATAGTAGATAACACTGGTCAAGAAAATTATTCTTCATCACTGGACTATTTCAAAAGTAAACAAGTCTATGAACGAGTTAATGAAATAGTCCAGGATGCGAACTTATGTCAAGCTGTAATCGATTGGTTAATCAAAGGTGAAATGGATAATAATGGTGCATCATCATTGAGTGATGTTAGTCTTGGTTCCTATCATGAATTTGAAGATAGTGAAGGAAATGACGAACGACAATTAGGTCAGCAAGGATTTCGTTCATTTATTGAATATCTTCGTTCATCAATATCTGAACATAAAATTCAATTAAATTGTGAAGTAACAAAAGTAATGTATAATAGTCGACATGAGAAGTTGATAGTCGAATTTACAAATTTGACTAATCGACAAAAGTCAATGATCCAATCTAATCATATTTTTTGGACAACATCATTAGGTTATTTGAAAGAAAATTTTCATCGAATTTTCTGTAGTGAATTGCAATTAATCGAACAAAAAAACAACAAGCTATCGAAAATATTGGATTTGGACTATTGAATAAGGTAAACTACTAAGATAAGAATTGATCAAATATAATCTCGTTTCGATAGGGTGTTTTAATCTATCGTGAAAAATTTTGGGCTGACGATATCTATGAAATGAATATTCTTCATGCAAATAGAAACAAATCATTTTTATCACTAACTTTGAGCGAATTTCTTAAGAAGGAAAAAGTTGATATGAATATTGCAAAAGCAATCATGGAAAATATTAATAATTATACAATAATTTTGAATACATCAACACCTACTTGAGCATGTCCAATAAGTGGAACAGCAGCTCATTTAGTAGAAGATCTTAATGAAAATCTATATAAAAAAATATCTAATTGTGTTTTTGAAGGAGTGAATGGTATAAGAATCGCTTCATTTGTGGAGCATACAGCTATCATTCAGTACGATCTTCACGAGAAGATCATGAATTATTGCAAAAACCTTATATACCGGGCAAAGTGAGTAAAAAAGAAAGAAAAAAGAAACTCACTTGTTAAATTTCAATAAATGATTTTGATATGTTTTATAGCTACCACGTATATTGTTTGCCGGCGAAGCAATTCATACACGATTCTTTTTCACTATTCATGGTGCTTTTGAAAGTGGAATACACGAAGCACAACAAATTTTATCCATTTTTGAAGACAATCAATAAATAAATCATAATGAACAAAAATTATTCGATGAACTTATCATAGTTTTCTTTCGCATAATTAGTACAGTTTTTTTTAGTTTGTAGAAGTCAATTCATATATAATAAACTATCATAAGATGAAAGATGGAATTGAATTATAAAATCTTAAGATAATTTATTAATAAAATTGATTCTTAATCTTCCTTATCAGACTTGCTTGTATTTATGCGTGTATTTGTTTACGTTATATATCAAACAACATATTAGTTTCTTAAAATTTGGTGATTGATTAAGTGAAAATAAATACGTCTTAACTGATCGTCTCTAACAACTTTAGTTCTGTTAAAGTATCATGATCATCTCTTCTATCGTCATCATCATAATCATTCATTATTGCTATACCATTATGCTTTTGTATAAAAGCTTTAACTTGATCTAGAAGTGTTTTAAGTTTTGATTCTAAGCTGATAAATTCATCGAACATGTGATCTTCATCTAAAACTTTTATTTTTATCATTTCGACACCTTGAACAACTTTTTACCATATTAAAGCTTGGGTATTCTATGGATCGAAAAAACTAATTGCTCGAAGAAATGCAACATCTAGATTGAAATAAATAATGTGATAGATTTTTGGGCTGTGGGTGTGAGTGGATGTGATTAAGTGTGGGTATGAGAATAGAGTTGTGAAGATGTGGGTATAGGCCTCACTTTGTTCTTCATTCACAATGACACCCCACACCCTCATTCATCTAGCTGTGACATTAATAGTGAGGGATGGTGTGGGCACGGTTGTGAATGAGTGTGGGTTTGAGTGTGAATTTCTACTCAACTATATCAATACTCGCATCCACACCATAGTCACATTCTCCTGAATTGGGATGAATTATTTACTTATCTGTATTTTTCAAAGATAAATAATTCCATTATCTTTATTTTATATTATCAAGGAAGACTAAAGAGTAAGTATCACCTCTATTGAATACTCAATTTTCTTCACATCGTTTTATATTTCACTTAGTTGAACATCTACCCGAACAACATATTTATTGACAACACTAATCAAAAGAGTTACAGATGATATCTACAAAGGAATTCATATTATGTCATGTTTTCTTGTCAATGAAAATGACAAATTGAATTATCGAATTCTAGGTTACCTATTAAATGTAGCGATACAGTTAAAACAAACTTCATTAAGCAATACACCTTAGATTTTATGTTTTTTTTTTTACATTTTCTTGCTTTTATTATTCTATCAACAATGTGCTAGAGAATAAAAACGACAATATGCGACGTACTCGCCTGTCTCAAACGAATTAAGATGGAATAGAGTGATCCATTTTATATTGATATCGTTACGATAACAACTAGAAACATCGTGAGTCAAGAAAAAAAAGCCACAGTGATGTAAAATGATTAATACTCTGTTTATATATGGCTTCATACAATAACGAGTTATTGATAATGTAAATATTCGAAAAAAAAAAGTTATGAATTTTATGTCACCAAAAATAAAACAGTACACAGTAATAAAACGCAAGCGAGAAGTTAGCAAGTGTAGAATATTGACCGATAAAATACGATCATCGTTTTTTTTGCGTATGAATACTCAACATCTAAACTCTTCGACATTATTCTTTTTTTCTTTCAAGTTGATTCTTGGTGTTACTGTTCTATCGATTCGTATGCATTCAAATCGAACTAGTCATGACTAAAAACTACCATTCAGTAACAATACATTTCTTTTGCATAGAAATTCTCCATCATTTATGAATGACAATGATCATCAATATAATGACTTACCATCACATCATGACAATAAAGCACAAAAACCATTGTACCATTTCTATCGCATGATTTTCCTTCTCATCTACTACATGAACGTGACGATAATGGTAGTGAGAATTCGTCAGTTCGAAAATTGTCAAATCCGATCAAACCGTACTTTGATACTCTCAATGAAATCTTCAGATCGAAATGGGATAATGTGAATTGACATTTTCAACATTACGTCTATTAATTATTTTGTTTTTTTCTTTATTAGACGACCTAGCGTTTATTCATAATTATAGACTTTTCAAATTCATGAGCATTTTTTATCTAAACAATACTCACTAAATTGTTTGTTTTTATGATTGTTTTTATAATTTTTTAAATAATATTTTATCTTTTATTCAGTTGCATCATCATAAAATGTGAATTCGACGATTCCATAGCTCAACTCAAACGCATATCTGAAATAGTTTATTAAAAGAATGATCTTTTATTCGTTCTGTTGGTTGTGATGTATAATGGCGATTTAAATTATATATAATCATATTTTTATTCAATAGAAAATATGTTAAGCAAATGAAAGTGTATTATAATGAGATTTTATTTTTGTTTCTTGTCTATTCAGAAATATTCACCGTTAAAAATCGAGTAAATCAGTAAATTTTCGTAGAGCTCGACGACGACTTTGAGACCATGAACATTTGCCATTATCAGGTTGATTGCATCGATTAGTTAAGCAACATTTCACATGAGAAGCACCACTCATTGGATTTTGTAATGCTGAGCATACGCTTTTAGACGTCACGATATATGCCCATTTTGTAATTTCTGCTGATTGTTCCTGTTTACTACAAGCTTGATCATCTTTTGTACATTTAAAACGATATTTCGCACATGTACAGATTTCTCCTGGACCACAATCTTTCATATCAGGTGCTAATATACATTTGTTATCTGTGCCCGTATAGCATCGAATCGATAAAGTAGTCCCAAAAAATATGCAAAAAACAACAGTAAAGAGTAATCGACCGCACATAGTAGAGTTGAAGAAAGAAAAATGTTTAAATGAGCGTAGCTTCACAAAAAATACAGAGGTCATATAATAGCTCTCTTACATATTTTATACTCCTACGCCTTAAGATATGAAAAGAAGTAGTTGTCGTTTTAGTATATGCTACTGCATGTTATGTCAACATAATGAATAACTTGTTCTGCTCCTCTGAGTCCTACAAAACTATAAATGGTTGTTTTTTTTTCGTGTTGACATAGGGTTGAGGATTATGCCAAAGTTTCGAAACGAATAGAGAACATTACTATGTATTTTATAACTAAGACATAGTCATTATTTGAATGAAAGTATTTATTGAGTGATCATGAATAGTTTGATCGTTTCTCTTTTCTATAAAGCTGATATCATCAACATGAAAAAATATAGATATTTAGATAGTCAGAATATTGTATTTAATTTCTCACATAGTTAATTATAGCTGTGGGTTATAAGAAGCATATCTCTAGTCATTCATCGATATATCGAGTAATTTATCATCATTAATATTTTTTTATTGTGTAAATTTAACTGAACTTTGTTTGCGAACGAGGATGGATAAGATAGAGACATTTTATTAAATAAAAACAATGTTTTTTCAACGTGAATAAACGAATAAGTTGGTATTAACAATAAACTGACAAAATGTCTACAAGTTGATACAAGACTAAAATTGTATTGATGCTAGAATTAACGAAAGGATCAAATAAGATGTATCCGAACATGTAATCCAACAGTACTCAACAGCTAAGAAGCATTCTGATAGCAAGTAATGATCTGACGACTAATTGACATCAGCTTAGACAGTCTCAATAGAAGAATGACGCTAGTTCATTTGACATTTAATTGAAACTAACCGAAGAAAATTGATTTGATTAGTCTGACATCTTTTCAAAGACGATGTAGTTTAGTATGTTTGAACTTAAAAGTGAAGAGAGCAGCGTCTGTCATTGAGATGGAAGCGTTTCTAATATCTGAGTAGCATTGAGTGCAACATATAACTCTTCGTAAGAATATTAGATGTCTACGAACCAAGATAATGCGTTAAAATGTCACCTCTATTTTAGATGAAACTCAATAACGAATACTATTTTCAGTTTGTTATTTGATGCAGTTATGCTTGTTAAGAAACTACTAGATAAACTCTCAATTTCACTAAATAAAAAATTCTGTTTTGTCATATTAGATAATGATCGATATTTTCTGAATGTCTCATGTGGAGCTAAAATAAAATCAATGAAATATTCACTGATAGTAAATCTTAATGGTCTCTATGTACAATAATTGGCTATGTTATAGAATAATTAAAAATAGAAGTATTAACTAATCTTTGATATACTACTTTTTCTTTTACTAGAATCTGAAAATAAGAAAAATGAAAACAAAAAAAACGACGTTGGTTCAAACCTACAATAAGCAAACAATATATTGAAATCACTTAAATAAACAAGTATAACAAAAACTGATGAATATAACTAATTTTTTCTTTTACTCTTCTTTTTGTGAAGAAGATTTAACTTTTTTTGTCGATGGAACAAGATATTGTTCAATAAAAAACTTAAAGAAAAACAAACAATAAACAGGTACAAGTGCATAAGGAAGAGTAAATTCTAAGAAATTTTCACTAGGAAAATGTTTATATTTCTGACATAAGTGTGGTACAACATGCCAAATATAGGTAACTGTTAAAAGTTGTAGAATTTGTAATGTTGTAATCATTGGACGTAAAAATTTTGGTAAACGAAAAGCAAAATGATAATACATAAGTGTATGAACAAAACCATTTAATAACATGCCACTTTTTTCTCCACCAGGAAAATTCGTAACACATAAAAATAATAAAAATGTTGTTGCATGATGATAAATATGAAGAAATCCAATTTTTTTTAATGATTGTCCTTTTGATATAAGAACAGCTGTATCAAACCATTCCCATATTTTTGAAATAGTAAAAGTAATTGATATAATACGAAGCCACGAAGGTATTGGATTACATAAATAATTTGACCAATTCATTATTTCTTTTGATTCTATTATGTAATATAAAACACTAATACATGAAAATAAAGAATATAAGAATAAAAGTATATAATGAATTTTCGACAATAAATTTTTAACTTTTAATGATAATTTTGATGCTAATAACGGAAAAATCATAGCTATTAAAAATATATATAATAAACATGATCCAAATGTAATA